ATATATATATATATATATATATATATATATATATTCTTTTTGTTTTTTTTTTAATGTTCTTGAATCTCCGTGCACTTGTATCTCTATTTACGTACGCATAATGTTTTTTTTTTTCGCGTTTTTTAATACGTGTGTATGTGTGTGTATCTGTGTGAATATATATATATATATGTTTTCGTCTTTGTTACTGTAGTCATTATGAGCGGTTCCCAAGCGCTTCGCCGCCTCTTATTTCTTGATGTAGAAGACGGATCTGTCGCTCGTCGTGGGTATCACTTTAGCGGTACATACGAACCACTACTTTACTCCACCACTCTTGATCAACCAGCGGCTGTTAATCCCCGTAGTGCCTTTCGATTTTCCTGTTGTTGTCTTCTTTCTTGTTTCCTCGGATGTCTAACGATGAAGGCACGTAATATGGAACGATGGTGGTTGGGTCTATTCTTTATGGGTGGAATGTATTACAACGGGGTGAAGGCGCATAAGGTGAACAATGGTTTAGTTGGCCACCAAAGTGGTTTCTTCGCTGCGGGAATGGGTGTAATGGGGTGCAGCGCCCGACTGATGGTGCGTGCAGGTAGTGTGCGAAACAACACTTTGTTGCTTCTCTTATTTTCCACATTGATGTGGTATGAAGTGGGAAGATATCATTTGTGGGCAGAACATGTGTCGGAGTTTCGTCGAGAGGTGGTTCCAGGTCGTACATACAATCTCTTAACAGAGTACGTTCCACAGGACATAGAGACAGAGTTTCTCCCATATCGCTCGATTTCATCCCAATAAGGTGTTGTGTATTGGCACGTTAACCTTTTTCTAGTTACCCCCTTTTTTTTTTTTTACTTTTTCTTCTGAGTGTTATTGAGACTGTTTATGCGATGTCGATACGCGTATTTGTATCTGTTTATAGGCGTGTTTATATTTATCTATGATTACCGTATTTACTTTTTTTTTATTATTGATTCTAAAAAAAAAAAAAAACATCAAAAAGCAATAGTACCATCAAAAAAAAAAAAAAAAATGATAATTAATTAAAATATTGTATTGCTCTTTTTCTTTTCTCTTCTTATTCTATGTGAATGTGTATCTGTATCTATCTATCTATATATATATATGTGTGTGTGAAAATATGTTTTTATTTATATATCTCTTCCTATAGATAGAAGTTATAAGAGTAAGATACGAAAATGCCAAAGAGTGTTATTCTAGATCATGATGGAGGCCATGACGATATTGTGGCCCTCACGCTGCTGCTCGCTCACCCAGAGAAGGCGAATGTGATTGGTTGTATCGTTACAGATGCTGATTGCTTCGCAACTGACGCATTTAACGTTACCGGCAAAATTATGTCTTTGTTCCATAAGCATAAAAATGTACCTCTTTTCCCTATTGGGAAATCCTCTTTTAAGGGAGTGAATCCTTTTCCGAAGGAGTGGCGATGCCATGCGAAGAATATGGATGATTTACCTTGTTTGAACATACCAGAATATAGTCAATTTTGGGATAAAGTTAAGGTACAAAACGAGAATCTTGTTGGTGAACAGTTATTAGCCGATCTGGTAATGAATTCCCCTGATAAAGTAACGATTTGTGCAACGGGTCCACTCTCTAATGTGGCTTGGTGTATTGAAAAGTATGGAGAGCGATTCACAGATAAGGTGGAGGAATGTGTGATCATGGGTGGTGCTGTGGATGTTGGCGGTAATGTCTTTCAGCCGGGCACAGACGGTACGGCGGAGTGGAATATTTACTGGGACCCCGCTGCGGCTAAAGTGGTCCTGCGCTGCCCAAAGATGCGCAATATTCTTTTCTCTCTCGACTCCACAAATGATGTGCCGGTGCATTCCGGTATTGTGCAGCGCTTTGGGGCACAGAACTCATTTATTCTCTCGCAGTTCGTTGGCTCCGCTTGGGCCATGTGCACACACTACGAGTTGTTGCGCCCAGGCGATGGCTACTTTGCGTGGGATGTTCTCACCGCAGCATTCACACTGGACAACAGTTTGGCACAACTCGAGGAGATTGCCTTGGATGTGGAAACCGAAAAGAATGGAAATGAAGGACGTACATTTCGTTTGACAGATGGGAAAGAAGGTCCACGTACATTTGTTGCAAAGAACGTGAAGGCAGAACTTTTCTACGAAATGGTTTTATCGAGTGCCCGTTTGTTTTAATACTGGACTTTTTTGAGCGTGAATAACCTCTTCTTTTTTTGTTTCTTGAGAATATATTATTTCCCACATGGAGTGATTAACAAGTATTTCCCTACTAATGTTGACCTACAAAAAAAAAAAGGAAAAAGAAAATGAATAATATGATATAATGGGTTTTTATGTTTATTTTTATCGGGGTTTCTCCAACCAATAACGAAGAAACAAAAAAAAAAAAAAATAAAAAACGAATAAAAGTAAATGATGAGCATTGTAGAGGCTCAAAAAAAAAAAAGAAAAAAATGATAATAACGGGCAAGGGAAAGAGATATGAACATCCGTTGATAGTTGATGTATAAAAAAGAAAAAAAAAAGAGTTAAATTGCCCAGGCAAACTTCACGTCAGACATGAAGGAGGGGAATTTTTTTTTTAAACGTAAAGCCTATTCATTTTGACGGTGATTAAATTTTTTTTGATTTTGTTTCTCTTCTTTCCTCTATTCCTCTATTCCTACTCCATGGGGAAAATTGCTTTTGTTGTTGTTTTATTTTTTATTTTTTTTTACCCCCACTTTTTTTTTTTCTTTTTTCTATTATTCTTCTCACGGACATTAGGAAGTCTAAGGGATGGAGGGAAAAAGCGCTGACACTGAACCATTAGAGGTTTCTGAGAGCTGTTTGATACCCAACGTTATACAACCTACTAAACCGAGTCATTTTACTGATGTGAACCGGAGCTATTTATACAAAAACAAAACAAGAAGTAGACGAACATTTCTACAAGATCAAACTACAGCATCTACAAAACTTCCCCGAATTTTACCAAAAGGTCTTCCGTATGTTGCTAATTTCGTCTCATTTGAGGAACTTGTAGAACGTGGAACCCTTGAGGCATGTACACAAGAAGCGGTAGACTTCTCTGTAGATGACCTTCGTCTTTTATACGAAGCCAAATGTATGGATCAATCCCTTCCACCTTCATGGGAACGGGAAATGCGTTTTATGGAACTTATTAGTGCTAATTGTACTGGTAATTTCTTTTCTTTAAAAGAATGTGGATTTGGTCCTATGTGTGCTGAAGCTATTGCACATATTTTGTCAAACAATAAAAAATATATTATTCTTGATCTCAGTGGTAATAGATTACGAGATGAAGGGGCTTGTTCTATTGCTAGACTTATTAGTGTTAACAGAACCCTTGTTCATATTGGTCTTCGTTCAAATGATATTGGTCACATTGGAGGTATGGCGTTGGCTAATGCTCTTCTTGAAAATAATACTGTGGTTTCTCTTGACGTTGGTGCCCATTCTGGTATTAATGGAAATCATATTGGTACTGAAGGAGCAGAAGCAATAGGTAATATGCTTCGTGCCAATAAAGTATTATCTCATTTAAACATTAGTAGTAATGGTTTAGGTCCTGCAGGTCTTTCTTACATTACTGCTGGTCTTGAAGGGAATTGCAGTCTTACTCGTTTAGACATTTCTATAAATAGCTTAGGATACGCTGGAGCCAAAGCTATTGCTTCTGCCCTTGAAAATTGCTCTATTACACACCTTTCTTTACATCGTAACAGTCTCACTGATAATGGTGGAATGGTGATTTTTCAAGCTATTGGTGATGCTATTGATAATGGAGAAGATAGAATTGAGTTTCTTAATTTGGAAAATAATGATCTTGGTGAAAAGACTGCTAAGGCATTACAAAAAGTATTATCTTCTTCTACAGCATTAAAACAACTTCGTTTATCCTCCAACAATTTTGGTTCTGCTTCAAAGTATATTATGGAAGGATTGGGAGAAAATAAGAGTCTTCGCTCACTTTATTTATCTTTTTGTGATATTAGAGAAACTGATGGAGCACCTTTTGCTTCTGCATTGACCGCAAATGCTACATTACAGACTCTTGATTTATCAAATAATAAACTAAAGGATGCAGGAACTAAATGTATTGCTGAAGCTATGAAAACTAATGAAGGATTAGTCTCTCTAAATCTTTCCTGTAATAAAATATCAGATGAAGGAGGAAAAGCGATTGCATCATTTCTTACAAGTAATCGAACTCTTCGTGATCTTAATTTACGTCGCAATACCATGTCTAATGTGACTGGTGAATTACTAGATGAGCAACTTCGTGGAAATTTTACCCTTGAAAAAATGGATGTGACATTCAATGATTTCCGTTATAAATGCCTTATGGGTCACAAAGCGACTCTTGCCCGCAATGCGGAGCATAACAAACGCCTTGTAGTTCCCAAGCTCCGTACGGAGATTGAGACCCTGTCGTACAAGGAGAAGGAGCTCACGCAGACGGAGGACGAGATTGAGATGGAGCGCCGCATCATCAAGGACCGCAGCGAGCAGCTGCTCCGCCGCAACGAGGAGGCCCGAGTGACGTTTGAGAAGGCGCGGCGGGAAATTGCGGATCTCGAGAAGAGCGTCGCGGTCGTGCGGGGCCGCTGCGAGGCGGCGGAGGCGGTCCTGCGGCGGACGGAGGAGCGGGTGGGCCGCGAGATGGCGGAGTTGGCCGCGCGGCGGGCGGGCGTCGAGGGGCGGGCGCAGGCGGAGCGGGACCGCGCGGATCGCCTCCGCCGCGAGATGGAACGCATGCGGCGCCAACTGCGGCAGGCGGAGGAGGCGGAGGCGACGCGACTGCGGCCGCTCCTCGTCGACGTGGGCATCGCCGAGGCCGACAGGGACCGGGAGGCCCGCGAGTGCCGGCACGAGGCTGACAAACTCGCCGCCCTCGAACTGCAGCGCAAGGAACTCGAGCGGAATGCCGGTCTCTCACTCCCAAAGAAGTCTCAAGCGAATAACGATACACGGCAGAAGAAGCGCTAGAAGAGATGGGAAGAAGAAGAAGAAGAGGAAAGAAATGATCGACAATGTACAGAAAATTATACACGAGGAAGAAGAAGAAGAGGAGGAGGAGGAGTATAGAGGAGTGGGAAGAAAAGAAAACGAAAAAAGAAAACATGTGATGATTATTATATGTTGTATCAATACGTCAAAGTTCTTCAGACTCCTTCCCTATTCACTCACTTGGATTCATTTACGCTTATTGTATAAATATAATTATATACATATATATATATATATATATATATATATATATATATATATATATTTGGAAATGTATATGAGTGTGTATGCGTGAGTGAAAGAAGAAAAGAAAGATATATATGTATTTATATCTTGCGTTGTGTATTTGTATGATGATATGCTATGTTATATTTTATTTTTCTATGAATTTTTTTTTTCTGTAGTATGGCAGAATGTTCTTTTTCTGCTGTGCTCTTGGTTTTTTTTTTTTTTCTTCTGATGTTCTTGTTTCTTGTTGCTCTCTCTCTCTCTTTTTGATTTTCTTAGTTTTGATGTTTTTTCAGCTCTTGTTGTTGCTCTTCTTTTTTTTTTTCTTTTTTTTTTAATGCTTCTATTAGCTAGAAAAGGCGTGGAAGAAGAGGGTGAAAGGGGAACACTATGCCAAAGGCTCTTCGTGGTCCTATAGAGACAGTTATCAAGAAACAGCCAAAGTGTAGTAGTACATCACATCCAGTTACTGTTTTTTCCCCGCAACGACCTCTTTTCAGTAGCAGTGGCAAAGTTCTTGTAACCAAAACACTCATCACACTTTGGAATAGATTACTTGGAAGTTATCAAGCTGAATCTACAAAAGAAATATTCCCATTTTTATATGCGGAACAAGATTCACAGAGTATAGACGACAACACAGGAATAGATGTTGCTGATAATGAAAAATGGCAAATCGGTTTTGGTTCTAACGCTTCTGTAGGAGAAATGATTTTTCACTTGTATTACACTCTTTCTGATGTAGATACAGCAGCATGGGTAATTGCTTTTTGTATTATAGATAAACTGCAACTTCAGCACTCTGTTAATAATCATTTAAGATTATCTAGTAATTCATCATCATGTAATGAAACATCATTTCGCTTTCACCTTGGTAATAAGTGGAGAAATCTATTTGTAGCATTTTGTTTAGCCTTAAAGTGGCACACAGACTACAATATCACACTTAATTATATGATTGATCTTCTCCCACACTCTTCACAGGATCGTCAGCAGCTGCGGAAATTATCTGCTCTGACAGAACGGCGTATGTGTTACTCCTTAGGCTATAATGTCTTTGTTTCTCCTGAAAACTTGCTTCAACTATTGGAGCAGTTTCTTGCATGTGAAGAACGAATATGTCTTATGGAGGATATCACCAATGACAGTTCACTAGGACGCTTCTTTTTATAATACTCTCTCACCTAAATATATATATATATATATATATATATATATATATATTATTTATTTTTCATGTTTATTATTAATTATTATTTGTTATTTTCTTGTCTAATTATTATTATTATTTTTTTCTCATTTTATTCACCTCTTACATGGTGAGTTTTTCATTTATTGGTATTATTTTTGTATTCTTGGGTTGTTGTTCTTTTTCACAGATAATTTTTACGTTGTTACGATTGGGGAAAGACACGATTGACTCAACGTGTTGTTTTTTCTTCTTCGATTTTCGTTTACAGTGCTATATATATATATATATACAGTATCCGTTCAACGTATATATTTGAATACCTTTGCAGTTCAAATGAATATAATCATTTTATATACATGTATTTTTTTCTCCCTTTTTTTTCTCTTCTTTTGTACTTCTTTCCAGAAGAGACTTGTCTTCAAAGTGAGAGAAAAGAGAGAGGAAACATACCAAAAAGAGAAAAAAAAAACTCAAAAAGAAAAAAAAAGAAAAAAAAAAAAAACACACACTTATTTGTTCCTACAAGTTCTTTTCTCATGTACTATTCTAACGGCTCTCAGACGACTCCGCATGTTGGTTCCTTTCAAGGCAATCAACCGTATGCGGTGATGCCTCGTCATATTCAACACCATCGTCAACAGTTCGTAGATCATACCCAACAGCAGCCGCAACCATCATCTCAACCACCACCACAACCATCCATTCAACAACAACAACAACAACAGCGACAGGTGATGCAGCCGCAGTATACGCCTAATCCTCAGTTTATGCAGATGCCAATGACCTCCGTCAATCAGAACTTTGTAAATAATTATCCTGGAGTTCCTGGTGGGTATCAGTCCTTTGGTTACAGTGCCCCACAACGTCAACAGACGGTACCCATTCCATCTAATGATGATCGATATCGCAAACAACTTATTGTGAACTATCTCGCACCTGATGTGGCCAGTGCAGAGTTGCACGAACTCTTCTCACGCTTTGGCCCACTTGATGGGGCCCGCATCATTTACGATAGACAAACAAACCTTCCAAAGGGGTATGGCTTTGTGTACTTTGCACACCCAGAAAATGCAAAGGAGGCGGTGGAACGGATGAATGGTTTTGAATTCCACGGGAAACGACTAAAGGTAGGGTACAGTACAAACCCACTTAACATCGTTTCTAGTGTTCATACACAATACACACATGGGGCAATAGTTTGAAGGAGTTTCTTTAAAGAGGAGTGGAGTGACCTTCTCTTACAACTTCTATTGATACTATTACTACTCTACATCAGAACATATATAAGGAACGAAATGAAATAAAAAGAGGGTAACCAAAAAAAAAAAAAAAAGAAATGGGGGCGGGGGAAGTTTCGTTGGGTGTGGTGGGTGTGAAGAAGTAGAAATAGGTACGAATAAGAGATTGAGGGAAGGGGAATCATTGAATTCCTACAATTTTGAAACTACATGAAGTATATATATATATACGTATACATATGTATGTTTATGAACAAAATAGTGGGATCTCTGAAATGCAGTGAGAAGAGAGTGAAAAACAAGAAAAAAAAATTAAGGGAGACAAAAAGAAAAAAAAAAAAATAACATCAACTAAGAAAGCTGACAAGCCAATCAAGTGTTGAACGAAAAATATACAAATGGTGAAATGACGTTTATTTTCTTTCTGTTTGTGGTTTTTTTTTTTTGTTGTTGTTGCTCTCTGCCAAATTTTTTTGGGGTTTATTTATGCTTTTTTGGTCTTAGAGATAAGGGCTTTTGTATATATATGTTTTGATTTTTTTTTTTTCTTTTTTAATTCTTTTTTTTTTTGTTTCTCTTATAATTTGTGGGAGAGGAGAAGAGAAATAAAGAAAAGAAAACACTGGTGAAAGGGAAATCCATAAAAACAAAAAAACCAGAGACCTGGTACTGTTGTCAATAATTGTACTCCTCGTTTTTTTTTTTTTCTGTTTTTTTTTTCTTTTTGGTATTATTTATTTTACGGACTCTTTACAGTGATCTGAGCGAATGAATGCTGTATTAATATATGTCTTCTTTCTTTTTCCTTTAGTTTATATTTTGGGTTGTGTTGTTGATTTTCGTTTGTTACATCAAGTCAGATGGATCATAAATTACATGTCCATATTTTTATTCCTTATGAAAGCGCTTTCTGTTTTCTTTTTTTTGTTTTCTGAAAAAATTTAAACGGGTTCTTACGGCTTTCTTCTTTTATTGATTTGGGACTTACTGCCCTTATGTGTGTTCTTGTCCACATTTTCCTTGTCTGATTCTATTTTCCATTATTGGTTTTGAATCTGTTTCTCACCTTTTTTTTGTTCTTTCTTCATCTTGTTATCTCTTCTCAGACTGTGCCTCTTTTTTTTTTTTTGATGTTATTGTTCGTTATGAATATTTCGTTTCTGTACTATCTTTTTTCCATTCTTTTTTTTTATTTGTTTTTTTTTTTTTTTTTTAATGTTGAGATTACAGAATGAATTTTTTTTTTTTTTTAATTCTTTTTTTCTTGTGTCTGAGTGCGACACTTGATGGGGGGAGTTGGTGACCGGCATTTGTGTTGGGTGGAAGTTATACCAATACAAACTCTATATGGTTTTTTTTTTATAAGAAGATTCTTACTTTTTTTCTTCTTTTATTATTATTATTATTATTATTATTATTATTATTATTATTATTATTAT